ACTACCCAGAAATTTGGGGTAAAAATTTAACCCACCCGCTGGGTCAAAACAACCCAATTGCTGGGTTTGTACCTATTTTACCCAGCACTGCGTTGTATTTAACCCAGCATTTTTTAGAGTGTAGGGGGACGATACTGCTGGAAAAATGGAAGCTCAATATCTGCGTTGTTGATTTATTTTACAGCCCCACAGACACACCATCCTGGTTATTGCAAGCAAATCCAAAGGTCTACTGTATATTTATTGATCCAACAAGGCAATGAGATCATCTGACCACTTAAATTGATTTTCACTGTTTATTTTTGGCAACACTAAAGACTTCCTCAAAAGGCCATGGATGCCAGCTCAATACCTCAGATTAATATAGAGGACTGTGATGGCCTTGAGGTCGCCCCAGATGATCATTTGAGAAACCTGAAAGCACTGACTGAGAAGCTCAGGCTTGAGACCAGAAGGCCGTCCTATCTTGAGTGGAAGGAACAAGTGGAAGCTCAAAGCTCCAAAGGCTTAGCCGTGTCAGAGGGCTCATCAGAGCTGGAGAAAGGTGCTGGACTGAAGCCTGACGTCACACCTCAGAATTCCCAAGTGACTGCAGGAAATGCTCTGATTTCTAGAAACCTTGGAGGATTTGATAATATCGATGAAGCTCTGGTTTGGCTTAGAAAAGAACTGGTAAGTCAAAACGTTTCAAAATCTTCATTTGTTGACTGAAGTTATATGGAATTATTTCTCTTAAAATATCAGAAAACTTGACCTTTTATGACATATGGTCATATGTCATGTGGTGCAACTCCCAAAAAAGTATAATTAATATCATCTAAAAATATAATTAATAATTTAAGATATTTGTATAAATAAAAAAATACCTTAAAAATAGATTTGAATTGTTTGTGCTTTTTTTTTCCAATAATGATTATGGACACTCATTCAAGGTGTATGGAAAATACATGTATTTTTTTCTTGAAAATTTTGAATCAACAATTCATTTTAAATGGATTTTTTAAGCATTTTCAATGAAATTGTCTTTATCGACACTCATATTTGTCATTATCATGTTCTCAAAAATGTGATTTTTCAAAATAATTTGCTGCTATTTTGCAATCATCTTTCTTTTAGGGAAGAAAACGAACAGCATCCCCATTAGTTAGCTAATTTGAATGAAACAATGGAGTGAATGCGCAGGCCTTCATTGCTACATCACTGCGTGAGAGATTGCCATTCATGTTAAAGTGAGTGGAAAAGATGGTGACCAGATGAGCATGAGAGGTGATCGCTCTCTGTTCCTCTAAGTGTAATCACTTCTCTTCCACTCAGCCATGTGGTTGGCATACTTTAATGCACAGGCCATACTTTAATGCACAGGCCATTACAGCCAAGGCACGCAATGAGGCTCCTTTAGCCACATCAGAAGCCTTTCTTCCACCGCCTTTGCCCCGTGTGTGTCCATAAACATTTACACAAAGAAAATTGGACACAATAACAAAAAAAACAGGGCAAGTTGCGGTATCAAGGGGACTTCTGATGGTCCATATCACCTCCCCTAATTTTGAGCCCCTTGTTATGTGAAACTGACAAAAGCGTGTTTGCTAACAAAGATGGATCTACATGCCCATGCGTGGTACATTTTGCATGAGCCTGAAAGGTAGAGAGACTTACACTACCTTTTCCAAGTTTAGGGTCAGTAAGATTTCTATTTATTCAACAATAATGCATTAAATTGATCAAACGTGACAATAAAGATTTATAATGTTACAAAAGATTTATATTAAAAACTATTAAGCAGCACAACTGTTTTCAGCATTGATAATAATAACCAATGTTTTATGAGCACTAAATCAGCATATTAGAATGATTTCTGAAGGATCATGAAGACTGGAGTAATGATGCTGAAAAGAAGCTTTGTCATCACAGTGTAGAAACCATTTTACTCAGAAATTGCTAGTCATTTTCACAGTTAATTACAAAGAAATGGCAGGTAACATTGAATTAAATGTGAAATGATGAGGTTGAATAACTAAAATGGTATTTTATTGTAAAAAGTACTCAAATGTTTTGAAAACTTTGAAAAATATTACAGTAGTTTAAAAATGCATTTGAAATTCAAAATGACATGAGGAGAATTTCATTTTAAAATGACACCAGATCAATTTGACTTTTTCTATAGTTTTGTCTCGAACTTTTAAAGGGAGTATTTCTCTGCAGGAAAGTGTACCTTGACAGCCAGTTGAGAACCCTGAATCTAAACATCTAATCTGTGTAAAATAAGTCAATCTTGTCTCATTATGTCTAAGTAAATGCTTCATAATTTTCACTAAGAAATTTGAGGAGGCACAAAGTGATATAATTAAGCCTTAAAGGCTTAGTTCACCCAAAAATGAAAATTCTGTCATTAATTACTCACCCTCATGTTGTTTCAAACCCGTAAGACCTTCGTTCATCTTCGGAACACACATTAAGATATTTTTGATGAAATCCGAGAGCTTTCTGACCCTGCATAGACAGCATAGACAGCGTGAATGCATGTTGAAGACTGACACGGAAGAGAAGAATTGTTGAATAAAATAATTTTTTTTGTTTTCTTTGTGCACAAAAAAGTATTCTTGTAGCTTCATAAAGATGTCATGGACTATTTTAACGATGTCCTTACTACCTTTCTGGGCCTTGAACGCGGTAGTTGTGTTGCTGTCTATGCAGGGTCAGAAAGCTTTATCAGACTTCATCAGAAATATCTTCACTTGTGTTACAGGCTTGAAACAACATGAGGGTGAGTAATTAATGACAGAATTTAAATTTTTGGGTGAACCAACCATTTTATAAGTTTCTCCTACTTGTTATTCTTTCATAGATGGAGATGCGCATCCAGGACCAGCAGTTGGCCCGCCAACTTATGCGACTACGCGGTGACATCAACAAACTCAAGGTGGAGCAGACGTGTCACCTGCATCGCCGGATGCTCAACGACGCCACCTTTGGCCTGGAGGAGCGTGACGAGCTGTCGGATCTTCTGTGTGATGGGCCCGTCACTCCAGGGTTTGGACTCTCTTCACCACTGCGCCTCATTGGTGTCACCAAGATGAACATCAACTCCAGACGCTTTTCCCTTTGCTAGCCATTTAACGTGTGACCCAACTGCGAAAGAAAAGAATTAGGGACTCAAAAAGTGAATGATCTTAGACAACTGTTTTGGAACCCAAGAGAACTGTTGTCACAGAACATCCTGTGCCTCTTGCTCTATGTTCTTGTGCCAGTGAAACCTTTTCAGTTAATCAAATGAACAATAGACAATGACTTCTAAAAAAATGTCTGATCCACTAGCCATGGCTCTATGCCTTAGATACAGTCCTTGTTGTGGTCATGAGATATCAAATGATGTTGCTTATACCACACACATGCTCTGTTTCAAAACCTTGTAAACTATCAAAAGCGTAAAGACTGTTCCAATATAGGCATCTTAATTATAGTGCCTCCAATACACCTTGCCAAATTCTAAGGCAGCATTCATGGTGAAAGCAATCCCATAATGCATTGCGATAAGCTCAGTGAACAGGATCGCGGACAAGGCATTAGAAATGTTCATTATTAATAAACGTACATATCATTTAATATTGAAAAGTATTGATGAATGTAATTTAAATGAATTATTTTATAATAATTTTGTGTTCTGTGAATTTTAATTAGTGCTGCGCAGCAATTAATCGTGATTAATTGCATCCAAAATAAAAGTTGTTGTTTATGTAATATATGTGTGTGTACTGTGTATATTTATTATGTATATATAAAGACACATACATACAGTATATATTTTGAAAATATTTACATGTATATATTTATATTCATATAATTTATATTTTATATAAATATATTTAATATATACATGTTTTTCTTAAATATATATATGCATGTGTGTGTATTTATATATACATATAAAAATATACACAGTACGCACACATATATTATGTACACAAAAACTTTTATTTTGGATGCGATTAATCACGATTAATTGTTGCCCAGCACTAATTTTAATGCTTATTATGTATAATTTTAATGCTTTATTAGTGCGTTAGCTTAGCAACATGTTAACGTCAACAGTGCACAGACATTTTTTCAGCTGCCTTCATTCCAGATTTTTTTTTCCCATTCATTTTTCCCCTATGGATTTTAAAACATTTTCATTAAATAGTTATAAGCCGTAAACCAAACCAACCAGCTATGAAATGAATCACAACATAAACTTTGATCTGAAGCAAAAACATTTCTGAAAATCAGACAAAAAGCCAAAGGTTGTGTACTTATTGACTTTATTAAGGAAAATAATTACAATCCCATGAATCATTGTGGTTGTGACCACCAGGAATTCCACCATTAAACATGATAAAAAAAAAAAAGAAACAGAGTAATGCAGGCTGATGGTTTCAACAAAAGCGTGTACCATCGATTAACAACCTTGAAGCTCACAGAAGGCTTTTCTTTAATGGTTATTGTTAAAAATCAATTCCCCAACAGAGAAAATGAATGGTATTTCACTTCCGGAACCAGAATGTTGCACTCTGTTGAAATAAAATGAATCAAATCGCCCAAGAGTAATGCAAATTGTGTGGCACAAAGACTTGCTACCTATGTATGAGCGCTCCAAATCGGTCTCTTGTGCGGTTCATGATTATGATTATGTAGGCCGTAGTGAAGCAGCTCACTAGGTTTTGGAACAGAGCCACAGCCTTAATTCAGTTTTGCTTATGTATGACACAAAATGTCTCAAGTAGTTACACACGAGTCTGCATGTTTGAACTCTAAGATTTTTTCTATACACATTTGTATTTTATATAGAAGAATATCTTATAAACATAACTCGGTTGTGGTTCGATTCATTAAAAAATATTATCCTTGGCATGTACAGTAAAGATGGTATTTGCTATATACTGTGCAATAACATCCCACAGATCATCTGTGGAAACATGCTTACAGAAACCTCTGATAATTCATCCGTATAATCCTGCAATAAATGTTTTACAGTACATTGTTGCTGAGTTAGTATGTTACTATGAAAGGAAGCAAGAAGGCTCATCAGTTTACCACTTTGTGTACATTGAGCTGATGCCAGTCTCTATGGAGCCAATTACTCTTAAGTGGTTCCATTTTTCCCAATTTGGGAGGAGCATCTCTTCAGATCTCCATCATTCAAATGACATGTTTTCATAAACAAAAACTCCAACATATGTGCAAAGGCTACGAAAATAAGTGTCATTACTATGCTCAATTACCTTATTTGTGGATGTTTAGGTACTTCCTGTTTGTTTGAACACTGGAGTATTTCGGTTCACTTGGTTTTTATGTTAATCTTAAACATTTGCAGTGCTTTTTTAATGAGTGTGAATATTGTGCTGGATAACTCAGTCAGAACAATAGGCCTACCTCAGAGAAAATGTCTTGGCTTTCTCATTCACATTTCTTCAAAAGATGGAGTGAAACCAGCTCTGAACAAAAGCTGAAAGGGTGTGTTTCAAAGTCCTTTTTCAGGAAGGTTGTGTTTCACATCCCTTCAATGACTGGCTTTTGTGTACAGCCAAACCATCCTTGATCAATGATAAACTCCAAAAGCATTCTGGGACTTGACATATTGTCTCACAATTAGCAGTTTTAATACTTTCTTATAGCAATCCGGTCCTCGAATGTGATTGGTCGACCAGCTGATAGCGTGGAGACTTTTCACTGTTTTGTATTGGAACTACTTTCAGTGATATTGTGTCTAAAATTAAAGTTACTCAATATTAATATTGTTTATTAAACTTAAAAACGCAGTATCACACTCACAGTCGTGTTGTTGGCACAAATATCTACTTGTGTGATATTGCTTAATCAAATTATATATTTTTTTTTTACAAAACTGAATCTTTTGTGAAAAGCCATTGAGTGCAACAGCTTGGTTCCAGAGATAAAAATGCCATTCATTTTCTCCATACACTCTCAGAAAAATCTCTCAGGTACAAAACTGGGGCTGTACCCTTTCAAAAATACCAATATGTACTTTTGAAGTACTTGTATGTACTAATATGCAACATTTAGAGATAAAAAAGTACAAAAATGTACCTTTTCGCTTTTGTACCTTACCACCCCAGTAACAGCTTTGTACCTTTTTTTTCTGAGAGTGTATAAAGGAAATGATTTTGAATTATAACATATAAGGGTTAGTTCACACAAAAATGAAAATTCTGTCATTAATTACTCACCCTCATGTCGTTCCAAACCCAGAAGACCTTCGTTCATCTTCGGAACACAAATTAAGATATTTTTGATGAAATCCGAGAGCTTTCTGTCCCTCCATAGACAGCAATGAAAATTTGATATACTATACTAAGTCATTAGTTTAATATTGCTCTGTTTTTAATTTAATTATGTCATTCGCAGTGCTTTGTGGGATGGTAGTTCTTTCCCTCACACAAAGTCTTGATCCTTTGTGTTTTAGTCTGATTTTCAATACTTTTTAAAGTTGTGATTGACCTCATAGCTGGTTGACTTGGTTCATGGCTTTTAACTTTTTAACAAAGACTTTTTTTTAAATCCCTATGGGAAAAATTAATTGGACAAACACTTCCGGAACCAATGCTGCTGAAAAAGTGGGTAGGCACTAATGCACTCTTTACTGCCTTTATAAACCATCAAGACACCTGTCGTTTTGGAGCTATTGTCTGCCACCATTCCCCAGTCAACTTTAGCTCTAATGAGAGACCAGGTCTCTCTGTATCATTGTCTCCAGTGCAGCTGTCTTGTCAAATGACATCTAACATGACATAAGCTCCCAGCTCCTTGTTAGCTCAGGATCAAGGTACTGACCTTTGACACCCTTTGTGTGTCCCTAAAGCAGCTCAGTTTGTCAGGATGTGCTTCTTGGCTCCAGTCAGGAATGAGGGTTTTACGCATGCATGCGCCCTGGAATTACAGGTATGTGCTGTGTGCGCGAAGTTATGCGCCATGTTCGTCTCCAAGAGGCGTATTATTAATGAACGACTTAATGTCTTCTGCTCGAATAAACTTTTGGTGCTGTCATTTAATATGTACGGGTGCCAAAGCTTGTTCTGTAGCCATGTGATAATGCCAGTAGATGTCTTTGAGGAGTTTAGCTCTTGCTTTGATGGCAAGGACTCTCCAGCACAAAATAATTAAAATGGCAGATTTATAGCACAAGTTTATCTTATCCAAAATTAACCCTCTAGGTAACCTCAAAAAGAAGTCAATCCATGGCAAAGGCCTCTTGTTTCAGAGGTAACATCCGCTAATGAGAGAGAGGGAGTGCACTGTTGCACTGTGGGATACGTTTAATCCTACTTATCGTTGCGTGATAGCTACATGCTTGGATAAATTGAGCAGGCTTATGCCTATGTTAGAGATTCTTCTTAAATGCCTATTTTTGTCAAGGTTTTTATTTGTCATTAGTTGTGAGTGTCTTTTAAACAAGTGTGAGGAATTTGGAGCACAGTTACAGCAATTCCCAGTTGCGCAAATGGAAATAAATGAATGTACTTTATATATTTTTTATGAAATAAAACATATGTATAGACCTTCAGCACACACATACACTACCGTTTGCGGTTGGCAAGTCTCTTTAAGATACAGTTAAAAACAGTAATATTGTGAAATATTACAATATCATAAATAATAATATAAATATCACACGTTTTATTTTAATTTTAAAATGTAATTTATTCTTGGGATGCAAAGCTGAATTTTCAGCATCATTACCCCAGTCTTCAGTGTCACATGATCCTTCAAAAATCATATGATTTGCTGATCAAGAAACTTGGTCAATCTGGATTGCTGCTGTAGGTAAACAACTGCCCCCTGTTGGTAACAATGTTATATTGCCACAATGCCACCACAATTAAAAAAAGTTTCTTTAGCGGAAATTATTTCCTACTCCATATTAATGAATGAATGAATGATCCATCTATATAGCACTTTATTGTGTATTGTTATACACCCAAAGCGCTTTACAATCGTGTGGGGGGGGGGGGGGGGTGACTCG